CAGGGCGGGTCCCAGGGCCGAGAGTGCCTCCGAGAGAAAGCTGCCCTCGAGTTCCGACCGATGCCAGACAGTCCCGTTTCTCCCGTGTGAGTCTGGGTCCCCTAAGACTCGCCGGGAACTGGAGCTCAGAGCCTGAGACTCCCTCCCGATTGAAAAAGACAATCGTGTCCTCAGCCGCCAGCCCTCTCCGCATGCACCTCCGCACCTTTGTATTTTACTTCCGCACCACAACTCCTTTGAGTCTCGGTATGCTTTTCTCTTTCCTTCTAATTGTAGAAATTCCACTCAGCCAGCGTTCCTGTGGTTCTGGATGATGTCCGTTATGTCTTTTAGTTGTATTTTTGAAGTGGTTGTGCGATGCAGCAATCTCCAGTGTTTACCTATGCTGCCATCTTGGTTTCTCCTTATTTATTGCCATTTTAAATTTCTTTGTACCTATGATCCTCTCTCCTTTTCTTCTTCTTCTTAAAACAGTCCCTTTAAAATGTCTTGCATGGGTGGTAATGTACTCCTTTAACGTATTTTTGTTTGGAAAGCTTTTTATTTCACTTTTAATTTTAAATTCTATCTTTGCTGGATACAGTAGTCTTGGATTTAGACTCTTGCTTTTGATTACTTTGAGTACTTCATGCCACTCCCTTCTGGCCTGAGTGTTTCTATTGAGAAGTCAGTTGACATTTTAATGGGAACCTCTGTAGGTAATTTTATGTCCCTTGCTGCATTTAAGATTCTGTTTTTTTTTTTCTTTTTAATCTTTTTTTTTTATTATTAAATCTTTATTGTTCAGATTACATTTGTTCCTCTTTTTTTTCCCCCCCCATAACTCCCCTCCTCCCAGGTCCCGCCCCACCCTCCGCTCTCACTCCCCACCCACTGTCCTCATCCATAGGTGCACGATTTTTGTCCAGTTTCTTCCCGCATCTCCCATTCCCCTTTCCCCCCCAAGAATAGTCAGTCCATTCCCTTTCTATGTCCCTGATTCATTATAATCACCAGTTCATTCTGTACATCAGATTATTTATTCACTTGATTCTTAGATTCACTTGTTGATAGATGCATGTTTGTTGTTCACAATTTGTATCTTTACCTTTTTCTTCTTCCTCCTCTTAAAGGATACCTTTCAGCATTTCATATAATACTGGTTTGGTGGTGATGAACTCCTTTAGCTTTTTATTTTTTAAATCTTTATTGTTCAGATTACATTTGTTCCTCTTTTTTTTTTCCCCCATAACTCCCCTCCTCCCAGTTCCCACCCCACCCTCCGCCCTCACTCCCCACCCACTGTCCTCATCCATAGGTGCACGATTTTTGTCCAGTTTCTTCCCGCATCTCCCATTCCCCTTTCCCCGCCAAGAATAGTCAGTCCATTCCCTTTCTATGTCCCTGATTCATTATAATCACCAGTTCATTCTGTACATCAGATTATTTATTCACTTGATTCTTAGATTCACTTGTTGATAGATGCATGTTTGTTGTTCACAATTTGTATCTTTACCTTTTTCTTCTTCCTCTTCTTAAAGGATACCTTTCAGCATTTCGTATAATACTGGTTTAGTGGTGATGAACTCCTTTAGCTTTTCCTTATCTGTGAAGCTCTTTATCTGACCTTCAATTCTGAATGATAGCTTTGCTGGATAAAGTAATCTTGGTTGTAGGTTCTTGGTATTCATCACTTTGAATATTTCTTGCCATTCCCTTCTGGCCTGCCAAGTTTCTGTTGAGAAATCAGCTGACAGTCGTATGGGTATTCCCTTGTAGGTAATTGAGTCTCTTTCTCTTGCTGCTTTTAAGATTCTCTCTTTGTCTTTTGCTCTTGGCATTTTAATTATGATGTGTCTTGGTGTGGTCCTCTTTGGATTCCTTTTGTTTGGGGTTCTCTGCGCTTCTTGGACCTGTAAGTCCATTTCTTTCACCAGGTGGGGGAAGTTTTCTGCCATTATTTCTTCAAATAGGTTTTCAATATCTTGCTGTCTCTCATCTTCTGGCACCCCTATTATTCTGATGTTGGTACGCTTGAAGCTGTCCCAGAGGCTCCTTACACTATCTTCGTATTTTCGGATTCTTTTTTCATTTTGCTTTTCCGGTTGGGTGTTTTTTGCTTCTTCGCATTTCAAATCTTTGGCTTGATTCTTGTGCTCCTCTGGTCTGCTATTGGGTGTCTGTATAATATTCTTTATTTCAGTCCGTGTATGCTTAATTTCTAGTTGGTTCTTTATCATAGCATCGAGGGTCTCATTAGTTTTCGTGACTCTCTCCTCAAGTTTATTGACAGCTTCTAGCACATTTTTGCAAGCCCTCAAAATTGCGATTTTTAGCTCTATATCCTCCATTTCTGTCATGTTTTTTTGTCTCCGCATTTTTTATGCTTTCTTGGTGCACCCCCTAGTGGTCTTTGTGCGCAGTCTTGTTCTAGTTGAGCCTTGATTGTTGTAGTTAATACTAGAGGGATTTGACCACCAGGCCGACTGGCTGTGTGAATCAGCTGTGTCTGCCGCGGAAAACTTCTGTCCTCTGGGGAGGTGCTAATCTAGCCTTTGCCTGAGGCGATCCGGCAAATGGCTCTGCGCAGGGCTTGGGCGGGGCGGGCTCAACAGGGCGGGCGGAGGGAGCCGTTATGGTGCCCTCAGTCCTGTTCCCAGAGGCTCTGCTTCTCAGAACCCCCGGAACCGCTGCAAACCTCGGAGGGAAAGCTGCCTTCCAACTGATGCCAGACACTCCCGCTTCTCCCGTTTGGGTCCGAGTCCCCAGCGATTCGCCCGTATCTGGAGCTCAGAGTCTGAGACTCCCCCCTGACCGAAAACGACAACCGCGCTCTCAGCCACCAGCCCGCTTTGCGCGCGCACCTCCGCACCTGAGTATTTTCCACACTGCGCCTCCTCTGAGCCTCGGTGTGCTGTTATTTTTCCTTCTAGTTGAAGAGTCTCTCCTCAGCCAGCTTTCCTGTGGTTCTGGGTGATGTCCGTTCCGTCTTTTAGTTGTATTTTTGAAGTGGTTGTTTGCGGCAGCAGTCTCCGGTGTTTACCTATGCCGCCATCTTGCTCCGCCCCCTCTTTTTAATCTCTCTGTTTTTGACTTTAACATTTGCTATTTTAATTACGATGTATCTAGGTGTGGTTCTCTTTGGGCTCCTCTTGATTGGGACTCTGTGCCTTCTGAACTTGTGCGACATTCACCAGGTTGGTGAAGTTTTCTGTCATTATTTCTTTAAACAGGTTCTCTTTTCCTTGCTGTCCCTCTTCCCCTTCTGGTAGTCCTATAATGCATATGCTGTTACATTTCATGGTGTCCCAGGGTTCCCTTAATCTATCTCCCTTCTTTTTAATTCTTTTTTTTCCCATTTGCTGCTCTAATTGTGTATTTATTTCTACCTTTTCTTCCAAATCGCTGATTCAATCATCTGCTTCATCCAATCTACTTTTAATACCTTCCAGTGTGTTCTTGATGTCAGATACATCATTCTTCTGTCTGTTTGGTTCTTGTTCATGTCCTCTATTTCCTTTTTCATGCTGTTGTAATTTGCACTAAGTTCCGTAAGCATCTTTATTACCATTGCTTTGAACTCTATGTCTGGTAAGTTGCTTGCCACTATTTCAGATAGTTCTTTTTCTGGAGAGTCCTTTTCTCTCATTTGGGGGTTGCTGCTTTGTGTCCTCATTGTAGCTGTCTTTTTGTATTTGCTTCTATGTATTAGATAGAACTGTTGTGCCTCCAGTCTTTGTGGGCTGGCCTAATAAAGAAAGTATCTTGAGGGGTCCAGTACTGCGGTCTCTTTGTTCACCTGAGCTGGATGCTCTAAGAGTGCCCCTTGTGTGCGTTATTTGGGCTCTCCTGTTTTAATTGGGACTTGATTATTGATGTCCTGTTTGTGGGAAGGGTCTCCCCTCCAACTTGCTGCCAGTGAGGTTGGTGCTCACTGGGTTTTGCTCTGATGTTGTTGAATCTGGTCCCTTGGTGTGTCTATCCTGGGTCTCCTGGAAGCTGCTCTAGTGCAGGTGAATGTGAGTCACTGTCCCTTTCTGGCCCTGGGTAACCTAAGTGAGGTCCAAGAGGTTGAACCCTCTAGTAGTCCAGTGGTCAGGGACTCCTTATCCCAGAGGCTGGGTCTGCCTTGAGTCTCACGCCTTGATTTTCTCTGTTCTGAGTTGTACCCCCTTCCCCCATGGATCTGGTCCCCCAGGTGTCAGCTGCAGGTGCTGGGGATCGGCAGGGGGGTGTGTGCACAGTCCCCCTCTGGCGTGCGACTCCCTGTGAGGTCCTGGAGCCTGCTTGCAGGGAATTCACTGCTGGGGACTCACTAAGTGGCCCTGGAGCCGCGGTAGGGTTGTTAATAGGTCCCTCTTGCATGCTACTCCCTGCGGGGTCCCGGAGCCTGTGGCAGACTCTGAAACTCACTGTGGGGTCCTGTAGCCCGTGGTGGGGATCCTTTGCGAGGTCCCATTGGTATGAGGCTTACTGCACGGATCTGGAGTGGTGTCCAAGGCTAGTCTAGGTAGTGGTGAGGCTGTGCTCCTGGCTGCTGCTGCTCCCCCCTTCAAGATGGTGTGGTTTCCATGCCAGAGCCGCGTCTGCCCAGGGAGTGCCTGTGGTAGTAGCAGGGGTCTCTTTGTCCAGAAGAACCTGATCCATGGCCCCTGAGACTCCTTCAAGATCTGCCTCTTACACACACACACACACACACACACACACACACACACACACACAACACAAGTCTGTACACTCCCCTCTCCTTTGCTTACTCAGTCTTTCCCTCACTGCTGCCCTGCCAGCCACCATGTTGAATCTCCCACAGACTCTGTTTCAGCCAGTAACTCTAACCATCTATTTCAAATGCCTTTTTAATAATTTTGAGCAAATTTGATTGATTCTTACTTTTCCTTAGGGTACTCCTGTAAGTATTGATGCTTTAATAGTTAACAATGAACCAAGGGGAAAACGTGGTGATGAACGTTAGATTTGTATGTATAACTAGTGCCTAAAATTCTGGAACTCATTTCTTCTAGGCAAATCGGCAGCCTTCCAACTATAATTCAGCCAAAATGTCTACTCCAGCAGACAAGGTCTTACGGAAATATGAGAATAAAATTAATCTAGGTGAGTTTGTAAAATACATTTTTTCATTGGGCTATGAGGAAATTCTTAAAAAACACATGAAGTGTTATAAAGTTTTATTGGATCAAGAAATATTTGTGCCCTGGCCGGTGTGGTTCAGTTGGTTGGCGCATTATCTCACACACCAAAAGATTGTGATTCAATTTCTGGTCAGGGCACATATCTAGATTGTGGGTTTGATCCCAAGTTGGGGCACCTGTGAGAGGCAAGCAGTTGATGTTTCTCACATTGATGTTTTTTCTCTCTCTTCTTCTTCCTCTCCCTCCCTTCCTTCCTCTTCTTCCTCCAAATCAATTAAAAACATATCCTTGTGTGAGAATTTTAAAAAAAGAAAGAAAAAAAATGAGTATACTTGGTGTTACTGACTGAATAATGCTTAGAGAAAATAAGAACTTAGTAATTTAAAAATATTGCTTCAAGGGAAAGACTTTATTTTAGCTTATGCTTTTTTTAGTTCTTTTTCTACCCTGTTGTACAAATACAAAGTTCAAATATATTCAAGTTATTGTCTGTTTTGTATTAGATTTTTGTAGGATGTTGAAAATACTAGAATGTTGAATATAATTACATTGTGTTTACCAGAGACATTTTATGTAGGCATTAATCATTTAGTGAGCTGTTGAATGTAAGGAATCAGAATGTTTTGAGAAAAATACAAAGTTGTCTTTCTCTTGTAGACATCAACTTGTTATAAATCTAGCACACTGTTTCATATTCCTATCATTGTCTTTCATGGACCTGAAATTTGAAATGAGACTGAAGTTTTTAGAATTAAACTTGGAATCCAGGCAGTTACATTATTTATATTAGTTGTAAAAGATATTAAGTGTCTGAAATTCAGCATATGCGGATATAGTATTTTTGAGGGGTTTCTGTATCTGGATTTCTGTGCTCAAAATTTATAGCTGTAGTGATGAGAGTGACACTTGTTATCAAGGAAACACAATCTAGTGCTTATCTTTAAAAACATTAAAACCTTTTCATTACTAAAATATATTCTGTGTATAAGAAAATATTTAGAAAATAGAGAAGGAAGAGGGGAGAAGAATCCTATTCAAAAAGACTATTAATGTCTTTCTGTCTTACATGTTGTTCACATTGTGGATTTTTTTCTTTTTTCAGATAAGCTAAATGTTACTGACTCTGTCATAAATAAAGTCACTGAAAAGTCTAGACAAAAGGAAGCAGATATGTAAGTAATATTTTAACTATAAAACATGGCTGATAGGGACTAATTCTAGACAAATTAAGTGGTCTTGTGATCATAATTATTTTACAGAGGATGGTATTTTTGTTTTGGGGTGTATATTTTGTATATTTAAACCTTTTTTTTTTTTTTTAGCTTAAATACCTTTGTTCACAAATGTGGTCTTAGGATAACAGTGTGAAATTTCTGTTTAAATGTTTAAACTGTTAAAAGGTTAAAATTTTAGCATAAAAATGCTCCCTTTTTAGAATTTATTTCAAAATTATTCGCTTTCATGACATTTTTTTTTTTTTAATGGTATAACCGAAAACAGATTACATTTACACTTCTGTTCTCAAAACCAGTTGTTTAAGATCTGGCTAATTTCTATATGCTGTTAACTCTAAGACATTAACAATATATTATAGAAACAGACACTAAGATCATACAACTAGCAGTGTTAGAACTGAATTTAAAAAACAATTTTCTTATGGTTTATTGCTAGGCCCAAGTGATCCTAACTTTTTGAGAAACAACATAGTCATTTGTTATTTTATTCAAGTGTCTGAATCTTTGTATTTGAAACTTTATTTAGATTTGTGTGCTAATTGAGTCACTTAGTGTGTGAACTGAAGCATTTTAATATGGAACTCAGTAACTGTCTTGAAATGGTGTCTTGTGTCTGAAGAAAAGGACTCTAAAGAGAAAGCCTTATATGTTGACTTTAATTCTGTACTAAATATTTGAAGGACAGTATAGACTTCATCCTTTCCTTTTTACAGCATAGTTCACTTTACCCCACCTATCTTTTTTATTTAATGCTTCTAAATTATGGATATAAATTTGTTTTCTGCAAATATGCTCCTTTTACCCTAGGGAACGGAATTGCTTATTAAGGAGAAATGAAATACGTTTCACTGAGTGATGAAATTACGAGATCTTGAAATCTGTTATTAAAGAAACTACCTATTTAGGAATTTCATGGAATGATGTACATGTAGAAACTTTTTCTTTGGCTTCTGTGACTAAATTTTGAATGTCACCTGTACTTTCTGTTTTTGGTTAGGTATCGCATCAAAGATAAGGCAGACAGAGCAACTGTAGAACAGGTACAATTTAAATGTGTTACAAGTTTTTATTTTAAAATAGCATTTTTCTTCTCTTTGAATTATAGTTTGCTTTTATCCTTCTTGCTTAATGCTAATATTAAAATGCTAATGCTAATGTCTAAAATTATTCCTGTATAAAATTACTCCTTTTTATAGTTTTGAGTTTAGAGCTCTATATTTTGCTTTGTTGAACTATTAATAGACAAATTTGAGTCATGCCCCCCTCCGTGGCCCTGTGAAGCCACCATGTAATGCTTTCATCTTCTAGAGGGAAGCAGAATTGATTGTAAGACCAAAAATCTTTTCTCTTGTCTTAAAGAAGGTCTGCAGGAATTTTGTGAACTTTCTCAGAAGATAGAACAGGTATCTGCCACAAGATAGGATAGATGGTAATGCGTGTGTGAGAGAGAGATGGGTAATGCCTTAAATTTTCCAATTAGAAATCCCTTACTTGGTTTAGAAGTTAATGCTTGTTTGCTTCTTTTTATTCAATAATGGGAGAAAGTTGGCCCCTATTTTTCCCACATGTAGAGGGTTGTGATTGGATGTTAGCATTGACCCAGATTTTTTATGTGAACCAAGTCATAAAAAAGGTCAGAACATTGCTACTGCAGCCTACCACCCTCTCCCTGCCCACACCCATATGTACAAATACATTTTGGAGTAGTAGCCCTTTTGACCTACAGATCCTTGGTTTAAGACATAGCACCCCTTCTACTATTTACCTCAATCCGCAAAGGAGTAACACCCTACCTGAGCTCTAGAACCATTTACTATATGCAATTGAAGAATTTTACATTTAGTCAGGAGCAGGTCTGAGATCTGTGACTCCATTATTCTCTAATTTAGTTATTTTGTATGATTTCTTTTTGTGATTGAAGACAAAGTGTGGACCCGCACAGGCAGATGAGGCAACTTTAATTTTCAAAGAGCCTAAAATAACTCAGGCAGAAAATCCTTTATTTTTCTCTTTTGAAATTAATTTTGAATGAGAGTATGTATCTTGAGTCTCAAGCTGTCTTTATAAAACATGTATCTGTAAGTTTATTCTCTTATATTTCTCTTTACCTATTATGTTGTTAAGCCATTTCGATATGCTGCTCCTTTCTACCCCCTAACTTGGCTACAGATCTCTATCTGATTCCTGTGTTCAACTAGCGTACACCCCCGCTATTTACCTGTACCGTAGAGAAGGAATGTTCACTCACTTTCCTTTTATTCTCTTCCCGTTGCTATGGATGTAGTTTGGGTTTTAGTTCTGCAATCTTTTAAGATTATTTTGTTTCTATTAACCTTAGGTTTCTGGTATGATCACAGCCAACTCATTGAAAGATAGACTCTAGAGCAGGGGTGGGGAACCTTTTATCTGCCAAGGGCCATTTGGATATTTTTTTACATCATTCACAGGCCACACAAAATTATCAGCTTAAAAATTAGCCTGCTCCCTTTGGCCAAACATGTAAACAACTCACCCCTAATGCCTTGGCAGGGCCGGACCAAATGATTTCGTGGGCCTTTGATGTTCCCCTCCCCTGCCTTAGAATATAGTTTATTTGGCCATTTGACACTGTCTCACTTTATGCAGCTAGTGCTAGTGGGTCTGTCTGCGCCATGAGGAGCTCTTGCGATCTCCCTTGAAATTGCATGTAAATGCTTCAGTTTCAGAACTGGACAGAAGCAGGCTTTAGTTCATTGCCTCCTGTTTGTTAAAGAAGACTTTGGGGTCTTCTTTTTTAAAATATTTTTATTGATTTTAGAGAAGAAGGGAGAGGGAGAGAGATAGAAGCAACAATGATGAGAGAGAATCATTGATTGGCTGCCTCCTGCATTGCACCCACTGGGGATTGAGCCCACAACCCCAGCATATGTCCTGACTGGGAATCGAACCGTGACCTCCTGGTTCATAGGTTGACGATCAACCACTGAGCCACCCTGGCCGGGCTTTGAGGTCTTCTTTCCTCAAAATTGACTGCTCTGTCTTGGAAGGAGACCCTTCCCCTGACTTATTCATCTATAGCAAGGGGCTGAAAACTCTTTTAAGTACTAAAGAATAAATATTTTAGACGTGGCTTACAATTCTTTTTTTTTTTTAACAAGTATTTTAAAATATAAAAACCATTCTTAGTTTGCAGGCTGTAGAGAAATAGGCTGCCACCTGAATTTCACTCATTAGCTGTAGGATGCTGACCCCTGGTTCAAATAGAGTGGCCACTGAGCACTTGGAATGTTGCAGGTTTGAATGAGACATGCCGTAAATGGAAATACACACCAGATTTCTAAGACTTAGGGTTACAGAATGTTAAATCTCTCACTAAGTTTTAAAATATTGATTACATGTTGAAATGATAGTGTTTTAGATGTATTGGATTAAAAACAGTGTATAAAACTAATTTTACCTGTTATCTTGGACATTTTTTAATGTGGTAAAACTAGAAAATGTAAAGTTTCTTATGTAGTTTGCTTTGTGTTTCTATTAGCAAAGGGTCTGGAGTCAATTTCTGCTTCTTTTGGACTTGGTAGCCTTTGATTTCTATGACCAAAGGAACAAGTTTATTGTCTCTTTGGTTTATTGTCTCCATGGTTCCTGTGGCCTCCACCTCCCATTCTCTTTACTAAAAATTAGAATGAATGAAAGTACCATAATAGCAACTCTCATTTAGCCAATCATGGTACAGTTAGGTTCTTCAGTTTATTAATTGTCAAATTCTTGAATGAGAAATAATTGGTACCATCTTTCTGAACTTCTATTTTTGGCATTTCTTTTTAGGTGTTGGATCCCAGAACACGAATGATATTATTCAAGATGTTGACTAGAGGAATCATATCAGAGATAAATGGCTGCATTAGCACAGGAAAAGAAGTGAGCTTTTCTTTGGATGCCTGAATGTTTTCATGTTAGTTTTCTTATTTCAGATAAGAAATGAAATTAAGGCATTTTGTAAATAAAATGTTCCTTTAAAAAGAAAGTCAGTTTCTGTATACAAGTCAAGATAGTTTAATCTGTGTTTCTAAAAATGGCTTTATTAATATTTATCAAAGGTAGGAAATTATGCACATAATTTTGCCTTTTCATGCCATTACTCTAACGTATCATGAGTCCAACTAGCTGTGTTGAGCAGTACAGTTAGATGGTCAAGTTACTGCAGGCCTGAGTCCTAATCAAGTAGTACTAATGGGGCAAGGGGCTGTGGTCTAATTTCTGTAGTCAGCTAATGTCTTTCTCATTTTTTTTCTTTGTATATGGATATGCAGAAAGACAAATGTGTTTTTAAATTAGCAACTCATAGATAGGAAGCAGTTCTTAGTAAAAATCAATTTATAAATCATGTGATGTGAGAATGTCTTCATGTATTTTCCACATGCTTGAGATATAAAAATGTTTCAAATTGCTTCTCACATGTATTTAAGTTGGATTTTACTATATATGTAATTGGAGATATATTTACTGTGTCTTTTGGTATGATGGTTTATGATTTAATTCATATATTCAAAGATGGTGTTCCTTATGCCTATTATTTCAGTTCATTTGACTTTTTTTAACTTTGAACATAGAATCAAATAGATTGAAAAAATAAAATACTGTTTGTAGTTACTTAACACAAACTTAATTTTCTTTGGTTTTGACTTAAAATAGGCTAATGTATACCATGCCAGCACAACAAATGGAGAGAGCAGAGCAATCAAAATTTATAAAACTTCTATTTTGGTGTTCAAAGATCGGGATAAGTATGTAAGCGGGGAATTCAGGTGAGCTCAGATTTTTTTCTTCAGTTAGCTTAATTTCTATATCCTAAAAAATAAACACTAGAACGGGATGCTTTAAATAACAAATTGTTTTCTTGTTCAAGATTTCGTCATGGCTATTGTAAAGGAAACCCCAGAAAGATGGTGAAAACTTGGGCAGAAAAAGAAATGAGGAACTTGATCAGGTGAATGGGGGTGTCTGTGCTGTGCCCTGCACATTGGCTTTGGTTCTTTCCCACCCGCAGATCCCAGTGGTTCTGTCTAAATCTAGGGACACGGTGGGGCTGTTCAGGTCCATTAGATCTACTGAGGGAAGTTAGACAAGTAAGAGCCACTGTATCTTGTCTGGGTCATGTAAAGAGCCTTAGAAACCATGTGAAAACTTTTAGAATTGATACTGAGGATGATAAGGAGCTGTTATAGGATCTTAAGCAGGCAAGTGACTTAGATTGTGAGAATGATGGGTCATTTTTAAATAGGTATTAGAGTTTTTGACAGTTTTGTTAGGCCCAAAATGCTTTATCAGTTTCCTTATTTCAGCCCAATTTTGGACACATTTATATAGTCTCTGAGTTGATATCTTTTTATCTGCTGTACATAAGTGACATATGCTGGCTATTTTAGTATTAAGCAGGTATTAATGATTGTTTTGAAAACCCTTCTGAAATTTGGGTGTGCTCAGTTAGCTATTAGGTTGAGTCCAACTGTTTTTACTGATCATTGCTCAGGCTAATCAGCTTGAAAAATCATCGCAGACATACCTGCTATATTTCATCAACTCTTAAGACTCACATTTTTTTTCACAGTTTAACATCTTTGGAATTGGATTGGGTGTTAGAGGCTATGGGATGTTGTTGTTGAATTGCCAGTGTTTTGTCATTCTTGATGGTGCATGATGGTGCCACTTAAAATCATTAGTGTCTTACAGTTTTTGAAATACAGTAATATAATTGGAAGACCCTGGTGCTGTTTCCTAACAGCAATATTAATCTTGTGTACTATAGTTGTTGTAATTGTTTCAGATGCTGTATTTAGCCTTTTCATTTGTCCTTTTATCTGTTTTAATATCACAGGCTGAACACAGCAGGGATCCCATGCCCAGAACCTATCCTGCTACGAAGTCATGTTCTTGTCATGGGTTTCATTGGTAAAGATGACATGTGAGTATGTGGATGGCCTAATAATTACATGTTCAGAATTATATTTTTAATTGCTTTGAATTAGTTTAATCTTGGAATATTTTTTATGACTCTTTTCCATTGTATTAGTGCATTAATTTATAATACATTTTTGACGACTATTTTATACAGTACCTGTTTATTGACAAGTTTCTGGAAAGGAACATCTGTAGTGAGCCAGGTTGTTCAGTGATGAGTTGTAGAAGAGAAGTGCCTGTAATAAATGTAGTATAAAGCACGAAAACTTGGTCCCATCAGTTTATCTTCATTGTTTATTTTATTCTTATTAAAGGCCAGCACCCCTCTTGAAAAACATCCAGTTATCAGAATCCAAGGCTCGTGAGTTGTACCTGCAGGTCATTCAGTACATGAGAATAATGTATCAGGATGCCAGACTGGTCCATGCAGATCTCAGTGAATTTAACATGCTGTGAGTATGTTTTGTCCCTTAGGTGCCTCCCATAAGTAGTTTCATGTCCTTTAAAAAAATAAAATTCCAATTCCAAAATGTCATACTAAATTCTAATGTTTTAAAGGTGGCTTCCACATGGTCACAGTATAGGATTTGTTTCCTGCCTTTGGTGATCTTAGTCATTGAATTGAGCCCTCATGTCACCATAGTGGAAGTGTGCACATCACTGGTGTTTCTCACATCCCTGCTTGTGTGGCCCGCAGGTACAGTGGTGGGGGTGTGTACATCATTGACGTTTCTCAGTCTGTGGAGCATGACCACCCACATGCCTTGGAGTTCTTGAGAAAAGATTGTGCCAATGTCAATGGTGAGTGGAAATTGCAGTTTTCTCCCAGCTTGTTTGTGTGTGTTGGTTCTATACCCTGTTACAGTGTTGATATAAAATTTTGGCACTGAATGGTTTGATGCAGTGATACTTATGCCAGTAGCTGGCAGATGGTATGTTTTTATTTCTTTGTTTCTCTATAAAGTTGTTCTCTTGTAAAGCTGTCGTTAACATTTTTCTTCTGACAGATTTCTTTTTGAAGCACAACGTTGCTGTGATGACTGTGCGGGAGCTCTTTGAATTTGTCACAGACCCATCAATTACACAGGAGAACATGGATGCTTATCTCTCAAAGGTGAGATGGGGTAAGGGGGAAAAAATAGAAAATAGCAGTAGTAATTTGCATTTATGGCACTTCTGAGGACTTAAATTGCTCTGCATAATTTTTGTTCATTTGACAGTTTCCTGAGACCTTTTTCTTCTGATTTCATAGATGGAGAATCAGAAGTATAGTAAAAAGCCAGTGGTAAAGTGAGGTTTCTTGACTTTAATCATTAGGCAAGATTACATCGATTGTCAAAGTTATGGAAATTTAGTAAGAAACCTGTTGTTAGCTTTTGGTCATTAATTCCTTTCCTTTGTTTCTCATAGGCCTTTCTGAATCACAAAAATTTTTAAATTGTGGTAAAATATACAAAGCATAAAATTGACCATTTTAACCATTTTTAAGTGTACAGTTCAGTGGCATTAAGTAAATTCACATTGGTTCTTAGATTCACTTGTTGATAGATGCATGTTTGTTGTTCACAATTTGTATCTTTACCTTTTTCTTCTTCCTCTTCTTAAAGGATACCTTTCAGCATTTCGTATAATACTGGTTTAGTGGTGATGAACTCCTTTAGCTTTTCCTTATCTGTGAAGCTCTTTATCTGACCTTCAATTCTGAATGATAGCTTTGCTGGATAAAGTATTCTTGGTTGTAGGTTCTTGGTATTCAGCACTTTGAATATTTCTTGCCATTCCCTTCTGGCCTGCCAAGTTTCTGTTGAGAAATCAGCTGACAGTCGTATGGGTATTCCCTTGTAGGTAATTGAGTCTCTTTCTCTTGCTGCTTTTAAGATTCTCTCTTTGTCTTTTGCTCTTGGCATTTTAATTATGATGTGTCTTGGTGTGGTCCTCTTTGGATTCCTTTTGTTTGGGGTTCTCTGCGCTTCTTGGACCTGTAAGTCCATTTCTTTCACCAGGTGGGGGAAGTTTTCTGCCATTATTTCTTCAAATAGGTTTTCAATATCTTGCTGTCTCTCATCTTCTGGCACCCCTATTATTCTGATGTTGGTACGCTTGAAGCTGTCCCAGAGGCTCCTTACACTATCTTCGTATTTTCGGATTCTTTTTTCATTTTGCTTTTCCGGTTGGGTGTTTTTTGCTTCTTCGCATTTCAAATCTTTGACTTGATTCTTGCGCTCCTCTGGTCTGCTATTGGGTGTCTGTATAATATTCTTTATTTCAGTCCGTGTATGCTTAATTTCTAGTTGGTTCTTTATCATAGCATCGAGGGTCTCATTAGTTTTCGTGACTCTCTCCTCAAGTTTATTGACAGCTTCTAGCACATTTTTGCAAGCCCTCAAAATTGCGATTTTTAGCTCTATATCCTCCATTTCTGTCATGTTTTTTTGTCTCCGCATTTTTTATGCTTTCTTGGTGCACCCCCTAGTGGTCTTTGTGCGCAGTCTTGTTCTAGTTGAGCCTTGATTGTTGTAGTTAATACTAGAGGGATTTGACCACCAGGCCGACTGGCTGTGTGAATCAGCTGTGTCTGCCGCGGAAAACTTCTGTCCTCTGGGGAGGTGCTAATCTAGCCTTTGCCTGAGGCGATCTGGCAAATGGCTCTGCGCAGGGCTTGGGCGGGGCGGGATCAACAGGGCAGGGCGGGCGGAGGGAGCCGTTATGGTGCCCTCAGTCCTGTTCCCAGAGGCTCTGCTTCTCAGAACCCCCGGAACCGCTGCAAACCTCGGAGGGAAAGCTGCCTTCCAACTGATGCCAGACACTCCCGCTTCTCCCGTTTGGGTCCGAGTCCCCAGCGATTCGCCCGTATCTGGAGCTCAGAGTCTGAGACTCCCCCCTGACCGAAAACGACAACCGCGCTCTCAGCCACCAGCCCGCTTTGCGCGCGCACCTCCGCACCTGAGTTTTTTCCACACTGCGCCTCCTCTGAGCCTCGGTGTGCTGTTATTTTTCCTTCTAGTTGAAGAGTCTCTCCTCAGCCAGCCTTCCTGTGGTTCTGGGTGATGTCCGTTCCGTCTTTTAGTTGTATTTTTGAAGTGGTTGTTTGCGGCAGCAGTCTCCGGTGTTTACCTATGCCGCCGTCTTGATTCTCCTCCTACATTCACATTGTTGTGCAACTACTATCCACCATCCATCCACAGGATTTTTTTGTCTTTTGAAGCAAAACTCAGTATTCATTAAACATTAACTCCCCATTTCTCTTCCCAGCTCATTCTACTGTCTGTCTATGATGTTGACTACTCATATAAGTAGAATCATACACTATTTGTCTTTTTCTGGCTGATTTATTTCACTTAGCATAATGTCCTCAAAGTTCATTTGTGGTGTAGGATGTGTCAGAATTCTTTTCCCTTTGAAGATTGAGTAATAATTCCATTTATGTAAATAGCACATTTTGTTTATCCATTCATCCACCTATGAACACCTTGGTTACTTCCACCTTTTGGCTATTGTGAATACTGCTGCTGTGAACATGGCTGTACAAATATCTCTTCAAGACCCTGTTTTCAATTCATTTACATGTATATCCAAAAGTGGAATTACTGGATCATATGGTAATTCTACATGTAATTTTTTGAGTAACAGTCATACTGTTTTTCTCAGTGATTGCACCATTTTACAGTTACATCAACAATGTGCCATTGTGCAAGGGTTCTGATTTTTCCACATCCTCACAAACACTTGCTATTGAGTAGCTCTCCTGATGAGTGTGTGGTGGTGTCACAAAGTTTTGATGTGAATTTCTCTAATGATGTTCAGCATCTTTTTATGTACTTGTTCGCCATTTGTATATCTTCTTTGGAGACATGTCTAGTAAAGTCTTTTGTATGTTTTTTAATCAGATTATTTTTTAGTTAAAAGAGTTCTTTATATTTTCTTCTGTCAGAAGAAAAACATTAACAACAGCTTTACAAGGGAACAACTTTATAGAGAAACAAAGAAATAAAAACATACCGTATGTGCCCTGACTGGGGATCAAACCTGCAACCTTTTTGTGCACTGGACGACATTCAGCTGAGTTGCACTAGCCAGGGCTCAAATATTTTCAATCCAACAGTGGGTGGATCAAGAGAATACAGATACACAGATATGGAGGGATAACTGTATTTTCATATTATCTATATGTATAAAGCCCTAATATGCAAATAGACCGAATGGCCAAACAACCAGTTGCTGTGACATGTGCTGACCCCCAGGGGGCGCGTGTGGAACATAGCGGGTGTCGGCGGCAGTGTGCAGAACATGGCAGGCATCGGCTGCAGCGGGATGGTGGAGCAGGTGAACAGCAGGGGGGAGAGGGGGGGACGCCAGTCGCTGTCATCAGGGCGAGCCTCTGGTGTTTACTGAAAATTCTTTACTCCCACCCGGTGCTCACACTTGGCACCGGCCCTGCTTGCACCCATTGCTGGTGCCCAGCGCTGGCCCTGATCGCCCCTCAGGGCTTCTCCACTTCCCCCTGCTCCTGAGGGCTGATCAGGGCTGGCAGTCACCTGTCGCACCCACTGCCGGCGACTGCCCTGCTTGCACCCACTGCTGGCGCCAGCCCTGCTCACACCCGTAGCTGGCATGTGGTAGCAGCAGCAGGAGTGGGGCTGCTGGCAGACAGGGGACAGGGAGGGGCCGAGCGGGGGCACGGAGGATAGGCCAGGACCCGCCCTGGTGCACTGGGCCCCTAGTGTAACTATAATTGAAGTAGTCACACTGTATCAGTTCATATATAAAGTTTTTTAAAAAATTTATTTTGTCACTCTCTACTTAGACTACAGATTCCTGAAGGACAGGGGTTTTAGTCTTTTTTTTTTTTTTTAATATGTTTTTATTGATTTCAGAGAGAGGAAGGGAGAGGGAGAGATAGAGAAACATCAATGATGAGAGAGAATCTTCCATTGGTTGACTTCTGTATGCCCCCTACCGGGGATTGAGCCCACAATCTGGGCATGTGCTCTGACTGGGAATTAAACTATGACCTCTTTGTTCATGAGTCAATGCTCAACCACTGAGCAACACTGGCCAGGCAGGAGTTTTATTTCTGTATTGCCAGTACCTAATCTGTACCTGGTAATAGTAAGTAATCACATATATTAATTGAATGAATAAGTATCACATCATTTTTATTCCTAAATCCTATAACACTGATTTCAGTGTCTGACCTTAAAACAAAAAGCCACCTAGAACCGCTATTCTTTCCTTTTTTCTGTATATTCTAAATAGATAGAGAACAAATTTTCAGTTTTACAGTTTCACAAGCCAAAAGAATCCTGTAGAATCTTTGTCACATTTTTAGTGTCAGTCATTGTTCAGATTGCTTTCTTTGGTGGTTTATGCTGCAGTGGCATTGGAGCCATATCTCAAATTAGAGGACAATCCGCTTTCTCATTGACTCCCTTCATTGACTGCTCAAGAGCTAAGGAATGGTTCTTTCATTCTTTGGTTCTCTGTTTTCCTTTAGTAGGTATTTTTCCTAATTGTTTAAAAATTAGTAAAAGTAATATTACTTTTGAGGAAGGGGCTAGGGATTCCCTGAGGTTAGACAAGTTTGATTTGTTACTTTTGGGTTGATGGCAACCGTTTTGGTGAGGTCTAACACGGAGAGCTAAACTGACCACTAGAGGACACCAAGTCCTTTTTTTAGAAATGTGAAGAAGTGCTACTGAGAAAGATTAAAACAGATTTATACTAAAATTGGGAAATGGATGTATCTTCTGTAGGTTGAATGTGAAGGAAAGTAATAATTTTTCTTTCCAAGGCCATGGAAATAGCATCCCAAAGGACCAAGGAGGAAAGGTCCAACCAAGATCATGTCGATGAAGAGGTAAGACTTATCATCTGTTCATAGCCTTAGGAAACACTTGTGCTTTGAGGTCTTTTAAAAAATATTGTTAAGGCTTGAACTTGATTTTAATAAATAAGCAGTTCATTACATAATTCCACTCAGCAGCCCATTAGCCCAATGTCCTAGGTGGAAAACATTTTAAAGAACCTATTGAAGTATCTGATTCAAGAAGGAAAAGCTGGTTTAGTTTGCAAATGTGGACTTTTATTTTATTTATTTATTTTTTAAATATATTTTTATTTCAGAGAGGAAGGAAGAGGGAGAGAAACATCAATGATGAGAGAGAATCATTGATCAGCTGCCTCCTGCACGCCCCCTACTGGGGATCAAGCCTGCAACCCTGGCATGTGCCCTTGACCGGAATTAAACCCAGGACCCTTCAGTCCACAGGCCGGTGCTCTATCCACTGAGCCAAATGGGCTAGGGCGCAAATGTGGATTTATAAATAATTTAAATGTTGATTCCAGTAATAATTAGAATTTAAATATTTATGTTTGTTAAAAAAGAAAATTATTTTAATTTTGGGGATCAATATATTTTTTGTGAAGATGATCCATAGTAGGCTTTATTTTATTTTATGTTTTAATTCTCACAGCTATTAGGGTGCTGGATGACTACAAGGTACTCTATGTTTATCAGCAGTTCTAAACCTTTTTTCACTGTAGCACAGAGTGGATAATGTTCCTGTGTCAGAACATAAGGCACAGCCAGGCAATTACATTCCTTTCTCTCCAACTCAGAAAAACTTTGTGGAATGCAAACGAGGAGAGAGAAGTATTATTCTAAGGGTAACCTTAAATCATATTCAGTTTTTTGTCATTGGTAACAAATTACTTTTGGCATAGCACATAGCACGTGCTATACCCGCCTGTGCAGGCGGCCTGGCTGAGAACTGGTGTTTTAGATGATGAGGATGGATTTTTTTATGACTTGATGGGAGTAAGGATGCTGAGCAAATGTGAGAAGTATGTGAATGGCAGTTTCGATTTTATTTTCCCTCTGTGTTTGTTAGGTGTTTAAGCGAGCATATATTCCTAGAACCTTGAATGAAGTAAAAAATTATGAGAGGGATTTGGATATAATGATGAAATTGAAGGAAGAGGACATGGCCATGAATGCCCAACAAGACAATGTGAGTAGCTGGGTTTATATGTAGCAAACAAGTTTACAAAGAAAGCTACCTTCCCCAACCTGCAATCTCGAATGTTGGCTTCTGATCTAGTGAGATGGCTAATTGCATTAACATGTCCTTTGGGCACATTGGATGTAAAGGAAATACATTGGTGTTTATGAAAGAAAATGATACAGTTGAATGAGTCCAACATACTGTAATTGCAGAAGGAAGATTTGTATAAAAGTCTAGGATATAAATGGTATTATACTGGATCCATTAACATTCTGTATATATTTCAGGGTCTGGAAGTTTTTTCTATTAAAGGGCCAGATAATAAATATTTTACGCTTTGCAGGCAAAGCAGCAAAATTGAGGCTACTATGTAGGTCATTATATAAAAAGAGAGAAAAATTTTGCTCCAAATTTTTATTGATGAAATAAAAAGCACTTTAATAATTGAATACAGTGCTCGCTTCAGCAGCACATATACAAAAATTGGAACGATACAGAGAAGGTTAGCATGGCCCCTGCGCAAAGATGACACTCAAATTCGTGAAGAGTTCCATATTTAAAAAAAAAAAAAATTGAATACAGCTTTCCATGATCCAAGGTCTACTAATGAAAGAAAAATGGAGTTATATTGGGAAGGAGAATACATTCCATTTCATTGAGATTTAAAGTTAGATTGTGCCATCATCAAATTGATTTTGAATGTTCATTAGTAGAAACCATCAGTCTATCTGTTGGATTTGGGCTGTGGGCTGGAATTTGCTGATGCCTGTATGCTTGGTAGACAAGAATAACACCCATGCTATACACTCTCTCTTTACTATGAGATAAATTTTAGGCACCTTTTTATAATCCCACAATATATCATTTAGCCTACAGTGTTGCTCTTTAATATTGGAGTGTGTTATTTCATTGTCTGGTTTTATGTTAATTTTTTTTTTCTTTGTGGTTACAAGATTCTATACCAAACCGTCACAGGACTGAAGAAAGATTTGTCAGGTGTTCAGAAGGTAAAAAGAATATGTGTTGCTATTTATTTATGTGAAAATTCTGTTAAAGGGTATAACATTTAATGTAAAGTATTATTAGAATTAAATTAACAGTGATAGAGTTATTTGTATATATACTTTCAAAGTCTACGAGCATTTTCAGAATGCCCTTTTTGTGTTCATTCTTTTTAACTATATGACTGAAATAGTGAAATTTATGGTTTATTTTTCATTCTGCCTCTGACTTGTCTTGTTATAGCTGAGGCATTGATCCTTTTTGTATCCTGGTCTTCCTTTGTGAAGTGATTAATGATAGTCATGTGCTTGTTGATCTTTTTACAACTAGCTTATTAAAAGTATGTATGAAGAACAATTTAAGGAGTTTAGCAGTCTGATAGTGCTGGATTCCTGCAGTGTTTTTTTTCAATCTTGTTTTGTTTTACATTTTAGAAAGATAGGGATTAATTCTACTTTAAGCAATTATAAAGGTAGTTCTTATTTCATTTAATGTCTTAATTAAAGGCTTAAGCATGAAAGATCACAGTTTGCTCTGAAAATTTACTTTGTCTTTTATGAGAGGAATTGACTTTTAAATGTTTCTTTTTTCCTTATAAAAAGAAAACCTCTTTTAAGAAAGTGCTTCCTGCTGCTTTAAAAGCTAAACTTCAGGGGGAAAAAGAAAATTTCTTTTGTTTAAATGTCATATTCCCTCTTGATCAGATTAATAATAACTGTCCTTCAAATTTGATTCATAGGAAAACAGCTATAAAGTTATTCAAATAAGTATTTTTTACTTCTCTCTGTATTTCTCAGTCATTACCGCATATATGATTGTGGCCCCGTCTTATATAATAAAGAGCTAATATGCAAATGGTCATCATGCCATAACGGCTCAGACACTCAACACTGGGGAGAGAGGAAGGGGACCATCCAGGCACAAATGAGCTCGCGAGAGAGGAATGGGGACCAGCCAGGCACAAATGAGCTCACAAGAGAGGAATGGGGACCAGCCAGGCTGTGGCCCGGGAGAGGGACAAGCCGCCTGCCTCGCAGTCCTGGGTGCCAGCGCCTGCAGCTGCGGCCCAGGCGAAGCGGCCTGCCCACGGTCCCCTGTAGCTGTGGCTGGCCCAGGTCCTGGGTGCCTGCGGCCGGCCAGAGGAGGGAATCCTGGGTCCCGGGTGCGGGGCAAGGCTGAGGTGATTAGGGGCAATCAGTCCAGCAGGGGAGCAGTTAGGGGCAAGGCCAGTAGAGCAAGCAAGCAAGCAAGCAAGCAAGCGAGTGGTTAGGAGCCAGCGGTCCCGGATTGCGAGAGGCAGCCAGACATCCCCTGAGGGGTCCTGGATTGGAGAGGGTACAGGCCAGGCTGAGGGATTTCCCCCTCCTCCTGTGCATGAATTTCATGCACCGGGCCTCTAGTAAGATTATAAGAGAGCTGGAAAGTTCCTGTTGCCTACTGACATAACATCATAGTGCAACACATGCTCACGTGTTTGTGGTCATGCTGGTGTAAACAAACCTGCGCTAACAGTGTTATAACCCAGTACTCCTTTTCTGAAGTGAAACAGTTATGTTGTTTCTCTGGGTCATCCATTAAAGCCCCAGTTTGTTCGTGGGGGTATGTTCTTGAGCCTTACTGGAATGGTACTTCCAGGCTTCCTCCCTCACTTTGATTCTGTTGTTTTGATGTTTTTAGTACAGGCTTTTGTTTTTCAAAGAATATCTGCAAAGTTAAAATCTGAATTCTGGCATTAACAATTCTGATAACAATAGATAACTGATTGGTTTAGAATAACATGGTTCTGTAATATTTTCAAGGTCCCTGCACTCCTAGAAAATCAGGTTAAGGAAAAGCATTGTTCTGATTCAGAAGATGGTGGAAGCTCTGAGTGTTCTGATGCAGGTTCTGAAGAGCAGGGAGACCATGCCTGCTCCAAGAAACCCACCACTGATCTTGAAGTTGATAAAAAGGTTAGTCAAGAATGAAAATTCCCTTGTTATTTAACATGGCAGCATAGCCACTCGTTACTCTTCACTCAAGTATTTAGATTATGGTTGCAGAAAACATTGTTGATCAGTAAGTACCTCTAATTATATTTTCAGTTCCTAAGCATGAACTGACTTTGGTTGTAACATTATCTAGAGATTGGGCTTCTGTTGGGAGCTTGGGCACTGTCTAGGGCAGTGGTCGCCAACCTTTCGGACCTCACGGACCAGCATTGGTCCACGGGCCATTGGTTGGCGACCACTGGTCTAGGGAAAGGACACACTGAATTCAGTACATTGAGTAGAAATTATTGTCATTAACTTGAAGTACAAATGATGCTGGAGTTGCCTCATGATGACATATTGAGGAGCCATTTCAGGGGGGATTTACAGCCACAAGTTTCCAAACTCGGAAAGGCTATTTCTTCCAACCCTGGCCACAGACAGAAGAGACACTCATGGTTGAATAATGCATGACAACTGTGTAACTATTACTCTTCATTCTTAGCTTAATCCTGAAACTTTATAAAGTATGGATTTTAAGACTTCTGAGAGACATACCCAACTGGCTGTTAATACATTTTTCTCTCTTTGTCGACTGGAAATAAATATTTTGTCTCCTTCTAACTTTTATTTCTGTTAGCATATGAAACTTGCAAAGAAAAGTAGTTGCAAACATTTAATAACATCCTCATGGATATTTGTGTTTGGCAGTCTTCAAATTTCAATTAGGATACCTTAAAGACAATTTCATCTCAAATTCCACCACCAAACTATAATTATTTTTATTTTATTTATTTATTTATTTATTTATTTATTTAATCCTCACCCGAGGATATTTTCCCATTGATTTGTAGAGAGAGTGGAAAAGAGAGGGAACGAAAAAGAAATATCGATGTGAGAGAAACACAACGATTGGTTGCCTTCTGCATGTGCCCTGACCAGGGCCCGGGCCGGGGAGGAGCCTGCAACTGGGGTATGTGCCCTTGACCAGAATTGAACCCATGTCCCTTTGGTCCGCAGGCCAACGCTCTGTTCACTGAGCCAAACCAGCTAGGGCTCATTTTTATTTTCTAATGTTACTCTTCTTTTTATCCTTTTACATATATCTTTATAACTAATTGTAGCATTGTGAATAGTATGAATGGAATTTGCTTATAAAAAGAAAACCTTGACTTATAAAAAAGTGCTTCCTGCTGCTTTAAAAACTGCTAACTTCAGGGGAAAAATAAAAATTTCTTTAGTTTAAATAACATTTTCCCTCGTGATTGAATTAATAGTAAGTGATATTTGAAATTTGATTCGTAGGAAAACAGCTGTGAACTTATCCAAGTAAATATTTTTTTTCTTCTGTCTGTATTTCACAGATTTTTTTAAAAAAATTTTTTGTTTTACAGGAAAGAAAAAAGATGGTCAAGGAAGCCCAGAGAGAGAAAAGAAAGAACAAAATTCCTAAACACGTGAAAAAAAGAAAGGAGAAGACAGCTAAGACAAAAAAGGGCAAATAGAATCGGAACTATATTATGTATAGTAATTTTCCATCAGTTTTTAAAAAAATATTCTTATTGATTTCAGAGATAAAGGGAGAGGCAGAGATAGAAACATTAATGATGAGAGAGACTCATTGATTGGCTGCCTCCTCCATGCCCCTACTGGGGATTGAGCCCACACCCAGGCATGTGCCCTTAAACGGAATCTAACCTGGGACTCTTCAGTCTGCAGGCCAACGCCCTATTCACTGAGCCAAACTGGCTAGGGCTCAGTTACTTTTCTTGCCTTATCTAAGTTGCATCTGGAAGGTGGAATATTGATTTTAACCAAATGGTTATTATGGCAATGTCTATGAAGACTGATTCAAGTGTTCTCATGTAGTTTTGTAAAAAGCTCTAATCTCTGTTGTCCAGATCCAGTCACTGACTCTGGTGTTGACAGAGAATTTATTTAAGCTATTTTAATGAAGAACTTTGTACAATTTTAGTTCTATATGTTCTATAATTTTAGTTCTCCTCTGGTATTTTTTTGAAGCATCGTAAATATTTAAATGTAATGAATGTCTACAACCTTTATGTAAGTGTGAAGGCACTTTGGATAAACTTGGGCCAAGTTTTGCTTTGCTTGTACATGCCAAAGACCCATCTGAAGTCACATGATTAAAATGCCAGGGTTTCCATAAAAAGAGTTTCACTTGTGGGAAAATTCACCTGACTGTTGATGTAATCATTCATTGCAACTTGGTTCTGTGTGCATTTATGATCATTTGTAAGGCACTCTTCATCTTTAATATCCTTTTCTGAGCTTAGAGCCTCTCAGTTCATAAGTTATTTCATGTTTGACCATTTGGCATGTTCATTCATTCATCAAATATTTGAGTATTTTAGGTGCTGGGAATACAGCACTAAAAAAACCCCACAAAACAAAACAGTCAAAAATTACTACCTTCAGGTAGTTTACATTTTAATAAGACAAAACATTAAACAGAATAAGTAAAAATAGTATATCAGCAGGTGACAAATTCTGTGGAGAGAAATATTGCAGAGAAGAGAGAATGCCTGGGAGAAGTAAGTTTGCCATTTTAAAATAAGCCACACTAAGTGGCTATATTTGAGCAAATACTTCAAAAGTATGAGTCATGTGCATATCAGGAAAGAAGGGTATTTCAGGCAAAGCAAACAGCAAATGCAAAGGCCCTGAGGCAGAAGTATGCCTGAAAAGTTCCAGAAACAAGAGGCTTCATATCCAAGGGAGAAAATACTAGATGAAATCAGATGGCATTAGGCTATTGGAGGGTTTTAAGCAGAGGAATAATATGATCTGACTTCTGTTTTGAATGATCACTATCACTTTGGCCTCTAGAAAATTGATGAGGAAATAAGGATAGGGTATTTATTGTAATATCCCACAGGAGAGATGATGACTTGCTCTAAGACAGTAGCAGGGACATGGAGAGAGGTGCTTGGATTCTAGATAGAACACAAAAGCGGCGTGAACTAGATGTGCTAGGGAATATATGAGGAGTATGGAGAAAGAATGAAGGATGATGTCAGGGATTATGACTGGCAACTGAGACTACTGGAATTGCTACTTAATATTTTGGGAAGGCATGTGCGTGGAGCAGGTTTGGGGTGAGAAAGGGAGTAGGAAGAGGGTGAGATTGCAACAAAACACAAATATTGAAAGAAGTGATCAAATATTTTTACCATATACTTTACATTAGAAATGCCTGTTTTAACCCTTGCATCTGAAACAATTTCTATAAATAAACTTAGTTTTCATTAAACTGAAGCTTGCATCTGCTTGTTTGAGAGTTGATTGGGTTGGGGGTGGGGGGTGAGGGGTGAGGTAGTTCAACTGAGCTTTTAAAATTTTAAGTCAAATTTATTAGGTTCATAATATCCTCCTTCCTAGACTTTAAAAAAGTTCAAAATGTGAAATAGAATTTCAGTGAAATATTATGTACACTAATAAAAGAGAAACATGGTAATTAGCGTACGACCGCTACCCTTCCCATTGGCTAATCAGCACATCCTTATGCAAATTAACTGTCAGCCAAGATGGCGGCCGGCAGCCATGCACTGAAGCGAACAGGGAGGCTTGCTTGCTCCAGTGACGGCAGACTCCAACATTCCCCGCCTGACTTGCTGGCCTCTCAGCTGCAACTCTAAGCAACTATGTTGCAAATATAGAAGCTAAACAAAACCCCAGAAACCAGCTTTAGTCAGCTGGGCTTCAGCCAGTCGGACCGCAACATTGTATCAAATACAGAAGG